GCGTCTCGTGGTAGGAGCCACCGACGCCACATTTCTTAGTCTCGCGAACTTTCATTTTGCGATTAAAGTTGCAAACCTCTCTTGAAATCTGCACTGATGCAGTCAACTAATCCCATAGGTCAAGTTATCGGATATTTTGTTGGTTCTTCACTGTGGAAGAAACCTGTTCAAATGGCGCACTGCACTGGAACGTGGCCTATGGGTGCAACCCTGTAATTCCCATAGACACCATTGCTAAATGCCCATACTTCAAAATTCTTTTAAAAATACTAAGAACTCTCACAGGTATTTAAGCTGCACAGAAATATAATGATCAACATGTCATCTTTCCTTTTCTTTTCATTTTTTGGTGGGTTGACCATTGACTTTTCGAAAAATTCTCACCCAAAAAGACGACCCCTATTTTCCCCAAAGCGGACAAGTAGCCATCCTGGAAAACGATCCCTCCACAACGTGGCAAAATAGCGCCACTTTCCAGCCCAATTGCATCCAAAATTCTCAGAATTGAAAGCCCCAAGTCCGGGCCAGAGGTTCATTGCCATATCATTGCCATATCTCTTCAATTCCCCGATTTTATGGCTCTCAGAACTCTCTAATATAGAATATTTTGAGGGTATGACTTATATTCATGAGCTCGGCGGATGGATTTAGGCCTATTTACCGGTGTGCACCCCTAAACCCTCTTTTAAAGTTAGTTGAATACCATAAATTTTGTGAAATCAGGCAACTGTCGAATAAAAAGTATATGTTGGCGAATACGTCATGTGTAAGCTAACAAAGTTATTTTATACAATGCTCAGAGATGGTAATAACCTTTTTATTAGTGTAGTGGTCCTGAAGCCTGTTTTTCCACCAAACGATAAGAACCTTTCAAAGTTGATGTCATTTACATGGGGGGGGGGGGGAATTTACGCCTATTGACGTACGACCTAAAATAAAAAAGAAAGGTAATGTAATTATAAGATGCTATAGCCGCAGTGTAGCGTATATGCACACCTGCCTACTTGACCTTAATAAAAAAAATTGTGTTAAAGATTTACGTCTTTATATATTTGGAACGTAATCATTTTTATCACATTCGTGCCTGCCCGTAATAAACATGTACAGCCCCTAGCACCGTTCTTGTTTGACAACCTCGAGATTGTCCCGTGTACAATTCATGTCAAAACAAAATCTTGGTCGAGCATAGTGAATTTGATAACTGTTCGATTGGTTTGCATACACATGTACTGACCAGCATTTCACTTAAAATTCCGGAATAGAGTGCTTCGTAAAAGGCTCTCCTATATCAGTTCAGATAAGCGTTAAAGTTATTCTTGTCCATTTATTATTCTGAAATTAAATTAGGAGTCTTGGTGAATTGCATTTATAGGGTTCCGAAGTTGACAGTTTATATCTTTCGCAAGCCGGGGTCTATTTTGGTTATTAAAATTTGCATGCATTTCATACAGTAGAGCGGATTCAATTTGTCGAAAGCTTTTGCGGCATTTGTACCCGAAGGGTATGCTACCGACATTCTTTAAATGATTCGTTTCATAGGAAAATTCTTTCCTAATAGTAATAAAACAAGAACAAACTATTTGATTTGAAGCACTTTGTGTGGTCATCGTTCAAAGTATTTCACGATTGGAAATAATCTCCCCTTTACAATTATTTACAAACCTACCTGTTTTAACCTCTAGGTTTCATTTTAACACTCCTTTAATGGCGGTCATTGCCATTACATAAATTCCTAAACGATCGTGCATGTTTTTGCTTCTTCAGATTGAACATTAATAATAATACAACGTTCCCGCGTAAGCGTGTACGTCAAATAAACAAAAATGCATTGAAATAACACAATACACATTCTAAAATGGTAAATCAATATTTTGTTGTTTTCAATATGGCATGCTTCATCACCGATTGTATTCATCTATTATTTCTAGCATCTCTCGTGACAAATGTTAAAGCAGCCTCTGACAAGACAATTTCCGCGTCTTTAGTGAACTTCTCCTCTTGTAGTGACATCCCCAAAAAGCGCAATTTCCGCGCAGTAAACAGTAACAGAGGTCAGAAGATAAAGGCAGTTTTCTTCTGCCGTAGCAGAAAGTCGCCAGCGTTAGATGCCGTTGTTGATTTATCGAAGTGAAAAGCGCCATAGCGTTACCACAATGTGTCGCCTGTAGGGCCATTCGGACGGCTCTTACTGCTGATTTTGTCGTCACATAACACCATCGGTACAATCTGCAGGCACATGAAGTAAATTAACAGACAACGACAGTCCACACGTTGATGTGGTACGTCTTGGCAGTTTGTCATGCTAAAGGCACATTCTTGCAGAAGGAAAACACATTACGTATGAATGACTTGGCGCCATTTTCCATTTGGGGAACATGATGTTCTCCTCCTCCTCCGAGCTTCATTGATGGATAGTTTTAGGATATCGCATTACCTAAAAGTCTGCCGTTCCTTACTATTTAAGGAACATTTTCCAGTGAAATGCTATCGATATCTTAATGTAACCTTGATATATATATTTTACTGATGATTGTTTAATGATAGCACTGTGTTTTCTTGCAGGTATGCCATGTGCAAAACATAATAAAACAACCTTCTATTCATATAGTGTAGCTTGTATTTCCAACCAGTACCTTTAACAGATCACCGGTCGTATTTCGCTCTGCATTTTCATGCAACTATCAAACAGAAATTTCCATAGCTTGGCCGATATTTAATTTGCAATAAACAGAAAAATAACCCCATAACTAATACTATGTTAAAGCACACAATCGGTTGAATAAAATTCCAGCGTCCTATAACTAAATGAAGAAATAGGAGTGAAATCTGATGTTATAACATATAGGCCTGAACCTTGACGACTCCGACATAAGCAACAGCACCTCCAATCTCACAGTCCTCACTCAACCCGGGGAAAAAACAAGAAATAAGCCCGGCTAATCCTCGCCAACTCTCACCGACTTCCACGGCAAACCGGACGAGGAACTTCGCCCTTGGGCAAGGATTACATCTCGTCCGATTTTTTTTATTCACATGCAATCGATTTCTTTCATTCGTTTGCGAGTCCTACTACCAGCGTTATATTAGCCGGATCAAATGCACAGCGCAGCCCGCGTGCAACTTCTGACGGCCGGGGAACGCGTACTTTTGTCAAAATTGGCGCGCGTTTTGATAATCTCATTGAAGGACTCAATTTTGTCCTAACACAGCTAAACTAATTATTGTTCGACGATGCCATAAGCCCCTTTATGACAGTGAACTTGAGCTGTCAGAAGATGTCTGTGTCAATTTCAGAAGGCGTGTTTGGAGAGCATGGTTTTCCCATCTGGTCAGGCACATTGGTTTGTTGGATAGGAGAATGAATTACTGCTGAGGAAACGTCGTCTTTATGTAGCGATTGGATTTTCGGGGGCTGCGCCGTTGTAATAGACAGAATCTTCGTGGTCTTACATTTCACCTGTTACTCTTACCTTAACAAATCATTTCCAAATGTTAGCACACTTCGGCATTTTGGATAATACATGTATATATCCATGCAAATTGTGTTTGAACGAAATACAATTTTCCTCATTTAATGCTGCTCCATCAGTCATATTTGATATCTTGGTTTATGTTCGCTGTATGAAAATTCCAGACTTTTGAAGTAATTCTAATCCAGAAAGGCACAAGCAAGAGAAACTACGTTTTACAACCTCGAAGTCCCACACATGCAACGACCCTTTTTAGGATTTTAGCATACGTATAGCGCCCTCTTCGGAATGATGACGAACAACGTTTGTCAAAGGTCACACTGGCGCCCTCCTGTGTCATCAATACCAATTGTTTTGTCCCTGACACCTGTTAACTTGATGAAAGTACATGTTTGTTGTTATCGTGCGACCCATTTTTTTTTTCTGGTCAACGTCAATTCACCGAATTGAACATGCTTCCAGCACACCGATTCGATCATGCAGTACATTCGTGTAATATTCCCCGTGGACTCAGGGAGCCACTACAGTCTGTCATCGGAATTTCAATTGATGTGCAGCACCTTATGTTGCGTTGACACGAAGTACATTAGGCAATAGGAAGACATTTGTAAACCAAAAAAGGGGGACTTTCGATTTCTTCTCAAATAAATCCAGTTCAACATACAACAGGAATAATGCAGTTGAGATACCTTTCAAAAATGTCGTTTTTTAACTACATGTATTTTCACTTATTTTAGTAGTAAACGAATATAGTTTTGCTTCTAGAATATCATTCTCTCACCGTTTCATCATATTTATGTAAACTTGCAAATCATTAAGCCATTTCTGTATAAATAGCGCCCGCAGGCGTCAACAAAACAATTTTGAGGTCAACGACTCACCAAGGGTGAGGTTTGAAATCTTTCCGAGTCCGATCCCTTTTCAGTGTTTTTTCCCATTACCCCAATAGTGTCTGTTTCAATTTCTCCACAATTTGAAAACAAACGAAATCGCTGGTACCTGACCCTAGTCAGGGTCAGAGGTCATGTAAATAGATCACCCCCTGTGGAAGCAGAACTAGCGGGAACCAACGTTATCCCTGGTTCACCGGTAGAGCAACCAATTACCCGGCAGCCAACCCGAGAATCCAAGTAGGTCAAAGGTGGCTTGGGGGGAACTTCCCCCGGGTACCAAAGCCATCAGGATCTGAAGGAAAACCCTGCTGACTATCCCTGAATTCGTCATTTGAATAATTTGCAGTGGAAGGCTCTTGAGTATACAAGTGGTCCTCTCCTGGGCTGACGGAAATTCGAATTAAACAGTCTTGGGCTTTTCTTGAGTTCCAGCCAGGCGGGGTCCAATGCGTTCATTAGCTTGGCCTGCCTTGTTGGGGATAACTGGGGAATTATCCCGTCTGCAAAACCAGAGGAATAAATATGTTTTCAGACTACAGCCTGATATTAGCTGTGGAGGACATCTGAGTAATTATCGAGCACAGTGACGAAACAAATTGTGCAAGGTTAATTCAGCACTTGTGTTCTTGTTTTCTAGGGAATTCGTTTGATAAAGCGGATCCTGACGGATGAGATGTGAACCCAAGACCTCTGAATTGCTGATATAAGGCTTCCCTTTGAAGTGATTCACCCAGGATTGTGTGATAACCTCATAATATGCAGACTAAGGTGCATTAATACCGTTCGGTTGAGTGTTCAATAACGGTAAGTAACATACATGTACGTGTTGCCATTCTGATACTAAAATAAAGATGTGGTTTGCTGGGGATTAATTGAAATCTGCGCGTTAAGGTGCGGAGATTCGTAAAACGGTTACATTTCACGCAATGGTGAGAATTCCGAACCAAAGTTGGAGTGCTTTCAGCAGCTGCTTTCGGGGCTTTTTCAGACTTGTGTTCTTGTCACTTTTGTACAGAAGTCTGGAAATAGACTGATGTCCTCAGTCCCTATTTGCGGCCCCGCACTTCTAGGTCAATGGGTCGCACTCAGGGAAATCTCCAGCGGGTTTATGAGGCGGCTCTGCCCCTACAAGTCACACTTGACATTCGGCTGACGGAACCTGCTGTTGCTCGTTAACCAAGGCGATGCCGAGAATTTAGGCGCCTTATGTCGCACTTATTACCACCGAGTGCGCAATTAGGATTGTCCAATGTAATCTTTTAACTTATTTTTAAATTGTCTTGTCGAATTGCAAGTACAGTGTGGGAGTGCCTTCGACTGAAGAAGTCCAATTTGCTATAGTACATCCAAATGCCCCTTTGAATAAACCATGTTCAAATAGGTGTATTACCGCTTTAACAAGTTGTTGCAAGTTGCAGCAACTTAATCTGCATCACCTTTTTGCTGAGGTTCACTCGGAGAGGAATGGACATTGTGTTACCAGATGGTAAGTGTTACACGTTGAATCATTTTGTACATTTAACAGAACTTTTCTAGTGTGTCGTATATGCATGACATCATGCTGTGGTTTAGATCAGCAGAGTATCTCAATACGTCAGGGGACACGACCAAGATGGTTGTCACGTATTATTGTAAACACGCTAAATTCACCAGCATGACGAATTCACGGAAGTCCGCTGTCACTTCTGCTAACCCTCAGTCAGCCCATGTTTTATTTTTATCCCCATGGATGCCACTCCCTCCTATTTTTAACGCAGGCAGCCACATAAATATCCAGTAAGGGGAAAGAAGTAAATCCCTTTCCTGAAGTCTGGGCCAAGGCATGACTCATTTTTTTTTATTCCGAAAGTTCCATGAGTGATTAATACTTGATGGCTATACAAGACTGTATACCAAGTTGCCGATGGTCTATTAAAAGACGACTTCTGATTGGATGTCATGCGCGCGCGTTCAAGGCAATCGTTTGACACTGTTTGATGACACACAGGTGCAGAGTTTTTGGTTTTGTTTTGGAGGCTGTTCCGGGTTTGGCTTGTAAATCCTGGACACCTTTAAAAGGAGTCCCTGGCACTCTCTGGATCTTTTCACCGGTAGGGTCCTACAGCAGATTTAGAACATGGAGAGCTCTAAACCGGTGAGCCCCTTTAATTCCCAGGGCAGCAACTTCCCGGACTTAATAATCATAAATATCCGTTCGTAATAAAACTCACAGGAAGTGGGCAACAGGCACTGGTTTGACTTCTGACATGACCGAGAATCTAAGGTCGACTGGCAGTCTTCTTGGCCGGTTAAAATTACAAGAATTCATAGGTAGAGTACATGTACATGTACATTCACCAGTTTTAACCACTGTCACATATCGCGTGGCGGTAACGCCTTTTTGTGCATACCAGAACTTCACATGAAAAGACACAACTTTGAGTTGGTACAAGAGGATGTAACATTAGGCCTATGTGGTGAGGTTTTCAGTTTACGTTACACATTGTCACAACAATGTTCATGCCTGTGGCACAACTTAATGTTGAGGCGGATGAAAGGAAGTTGATCTGGTTACAGCCGTTGTGCGTTTCCAGTGGTTTTTTTTTATAGTGCTGATCATGTTGATATATTTAGCGGGCAATAACATGTTGTGGATTTAATCACAAATGTACCATTTAGGAAAACTAATGTTGTTTCACAATCTCAGATCATCTTTGTTGTCGTTTGCGCTATTTGACGAGGCGGATCTTCACACGTCTGCTTTGCAGTTTAGAAATCGCAAAGCTTTTGTGCGACTTCAAGAGGTCCTTCACTGAAAACAAAATATCTATATTTACCGAGCACGGGAGAGTTCTGCTCAGCAAAATTCGTCCACCAGAGCAAACTGCAAATGCCGTTTACACGTCAGCTCGAGCCTGGTCCCTGCTTATTCTTGCTTTAAACGTCTATACCAAAATGCTCTTCTGGTTAACAGGCCCGCGAAATTGAGTCCAACCGACTTCGCCCCGGGTGTCTGATGTTTGTAGACCAGGCACAGCCGGGACCATGGAGAGAAGCCAAGGCACAGTGCAACGACCCTGAACCAGAACCAGTCTCTACTATATCCCCACTGTGGCGAAGGTCAAGGGTTCCACTTTTTTTAAAAGTCCATTCAGAGTGCCAGACGGCCTCGCTTCTAATGATGAGCAGGTTGGTACGTCCTGAACATTGAAAGCAGGTGGAAAGTGGGTTCTCCTCCCAAGGCTGTCGTTCTGTCTGTCTGCTGCGTGGCAGATTTTTGCCGAGAAATTCCATTTTCTGGATCTGAGAAAACATTCCCTTGATACGGGGGGGGGGGGGGGGTTGGATCGTAAAATTACAATTGGACATAATTATGTCTGCCGCTTGATACTAGACGTCTTTGTATTAAAGGCGCAACTGATATCGTGGAGCTTCAGGGACTTTTACTGATTGTTGAGTACCGATTTATAGTGACAAAAATATTTCAGAGTGGTTCGTTCCAAGACGAGAGATATTTCGGTCATTATGCTGTTTTCTAACAGATTTTTTCTCAGAACCACGTTTACTTTTATACACTTCACATCCGGAATGCCTCCCGAATTTTTCTCTCCACCAAAGCTTCAAATCGCATTGATGTCGTTATACGGTAGTAATTACCTACAGCTCTCTCAAGAAGTTGAGGGTACCCGGATTAATGTTTAGCGCTTCTCAACAAAATATCAAAAGATAAGCCACCGGAGACACACCAAAGACAAATCAAATTCCAGCGGAACGGACCCGGGCGACATACGGAGAGATCGCGTCTCACGCCCGGTGTCCTGCGCGCCCGTCACCCAGCAACATTACAACGGTCCGGACCCCGGCCCTCGATGCAATTCAATTGACCGTGCGGTTTCTGTATTGAAGTGGATTATTCACATTTTTTTTTTATTTGCTCACCAAAACCGGTTTGATTTTGAACTCGAGTGTTACTGGAACGCAGTGAACAAGGGATTCGATCGATTAGGCTAGGGTAATATTAAAGTTTGTTTCTCCAGTTTACAATGCAATTTATCAACAGAAAATGACTGCTATTTTGTTGCTTCCAAAAGCATGCACTTTCAGAATCTGATACTGGTCCTACGATCTGTGAATAATACCTATAATGAACTAATGTCCAGTTGGAGATGTCTTTCAAATGCAACAACCTTACTCGCAGGGCATTTAGGCAAGGTATGTTCATGTTGAATAATGATGTTTTTTTTACGCAAGTTTGCCAACAGTTAAAGAAGGTTTGTATTTTTGATAGTTCAATGTTTATACACACAAATCAGACGCACACGCAAAATCAATTAGGTAAGTTTTACCTAATTATTATGAAATCGAAAGTTATATTTGAAGCTGTAAGCCAATTGTATTCGGAATTTCGGTGTCTATGTTTGTATGAATTATTTTCGATAATCCGCTGACGGTTCAGGTTGAACTTTTTGTCTGCGGAATATCGTAAATCGATATTAAATTTGCTCAAACCCATCCAGCTGCCTTACATAAGCCATAACATCATCATATGGTCAAACAATGCAGAGTAAAAAAAAAAACCCGTATAATTTCAGCCCGGAGGGTAAATACAAAATAACCGTTTCGCCCCGCAAACATGACTTTGCTTGCATGAGGCCCGAACTAACTCGTTCTCATTCCATTGTTTGCGCAGGGGACCGGGAAATAGAGTGTGTGGTACAGACGTGATGTGCGAACATCGTGTCAGTGAGCAACAGTTTCCACTCCCAGTCTTGTCAACATATGATGTGGTAATCGTCTTGCTGGACGGCTAGCCAACGGCAGGTTACTCCAGAGTCGAGGGCAGATACCGAGAGAGTCAACTAAAAGCTACATATTGCTGGAAAGCTGAACGTGGTTCGGAGAGTTGGAACGCCACGAGGAGTGGTAGACTACCCACTGAGCTGATCAATACACACACCGCGAGGCACTAGTGTGTTGTCTGGCCTTGTCCCTTCACACGACCGCCTGTTGGATTACTAGCATACGGGACACTCATAACTGCTAACGGGACAAGTTGGCAACAAACCGCAGAGGTGTCCTGGATTGAGGACAAACCGCGGTGAAGGCTGGCCCGGGAGCCAGAAAGGACTCGTCTTCGATACTTGCGCGAACGCAAGTGGAACTTTAGTACCGCTCCCCAGTTTTGCCTTTCATAAAGAAACTCTGGATTTACGATTTTTTCGTTGAATTTCCCTCAGCTCAACACAGCAACTGCTGTTCAGCGGAACCAGATGTGAATCTGTGGACAGCTGGAACTGGAAAATTTACCCAATTCTCCTCATTTTGCTTCGAAAACCTGGACAATTTGGACTTTTTGAATGGTAGCAGTTTGAAGTTTGTAGCAGTTTGATCCGTCGACAACGCCACTGCACAATGGCGGGAAGAAACAGGCAAGGGCCCCACAGGGGCATTGCCATAATCTGCAGCTTGGTAAGTTCAAAACCTTTGTTCTCTACTTTGTAAAGAAAAAAATCTAAAAATAAGTGCACTTTGAATTGGGTGAACTTTCATTGTTCATATTTTCTATATCCTGCCTGCGAACCATATCCAATCGTGTTTTTTCCCCCTGCGCATTGGGAGGGTTTTTTGAATGCAATTGCAACATGCGATGGTGTTTCGGTGATTTGCAGCTCTGGACGGCTCAATAAAAAATATGACTGTTTCTTTCATTCAAGAGATTTTTATGACTACATTTTGAACAAAATGAAACATTAATTGCAAATACTACCACCATTTTGCGCAATCAGCACGACACCAGACAAAAAATACAAATTTGCCAAGAGGTGAAATCTTGCTTTATTTAAATAAAAAAACCAACACAATACACATGTATAAATTAGGCAGACTAAACGAAAAAAAAACCCCAAACTAGTTATAACCGACAATAACCGTAACAAAAGTTAATTTTCTGAAGCTGCATGTTTACAAACAGCAGGCGAACGTTAATTTCAGAGAACCGAATAATAATTATGGCAGAGAGCCCAGTTGCACTGTTTTAATGAATAGCAACCACTTAATTAACCATCGTTCGATATCATTTACCGCAGTATGCCGCCAGGGTTATATCATATCGCGTCACTATAATGATTCGCATTTTATCATAAATGCGTGTTGCATTGTCACCAGCATAATGACTAAAGGCAAAAGGGTTGTACTCAGCTACATGTAGCTATTTAGCTGGGGAAAAAATGCACCGTACGCAAAAACAATACATTTTTTTAATTCAAGGTCACCACTAACAGCTCTGATCTGCAAATCGCCTATCGGCTAAAAGCAGGTCCAGTCCCCTCTCTCTGTTTGCCCCAATCACACCCATGACTTCACAGGGTGTCAACCGTAGCGGGTTCGATGTTCAAACTTTAGGGTTTTTGACACCTTAATTGCCCACTGATTCGCGAACAATGTGCTTAATACTGCTGGTGTCTGCTGACCTCAAGGTTCCGTATGATCATGGACTTATTGGTGTGATGTGATATGGGAAAATGACTAAACCGAATGCCCTCATAGGGTCAGGGACGCACAAGGAGTGGTCGTCTGGTATCTACCCGCACCACGTCTAAACTCCTCGCTTGACCGGATGACCTTGTGACTGGACAGAGGTCAGGGTAGTCTGTAGTCGATTATTCACGGTTGTACAGGATGACCTTCCGATGGTTTGGACAAGCGAGGAGGTCGATGATTGGTAGTTTTATTGAATGATAGTCTTATTATTTTGGAAGCCTGAATAAAGATCATGGAGCTATTTGTTTAATAGCTCCATGTAAAGATAAAGGCACATTCCGAAAGCATTCTACACGGTGTTTCAATAAAAAAGAATCCCAAATTTGAAGAACCAGTATGGACAGACTAAATGTTTACTGGCTATAAAACTGGTATCATCTGAAAGCGTAATCTCTATGCTTTTCAATGATACCTTGTTTACATTTCCAGGGTCATGCATCACTGAGCATCATTGTCTTGAAAACTGGATGCAAAATTTCAGTTGGTTCACTTTCATGTCAAACACAATAGGCATGGTGTGCATGAGAATAAGTATTCAAGAAGAAGACACGAGTGCATAAGAAGAAACCCCCAAAACAAGTCGGGTTGGTTTTAAAACTGGATTTCATTGTTTGTCGTAAATTCTCGTTTTGACTAAGCCACGTTCAAAACAATGTGCCATTTTCCCGAGAATTGACATTCATGCCATTTCACAGACATTTCCGTAACAATAGGCACACCGTGCCCAGTGGTTTTTTTTTTGATGAAAGTGAACCAACTGCATTTTTGCATCCAGTTTTCAAGACAATGATGCTTAGTGATGCATTACTCAGAAAACCTAAACACGGTATCATTGAAAAGCATAGAGATTACGCTTTCAGATGATACCAGTTTTATAGCCAGTAAACATATCGTCTGTCCGTACTCATTCTTTGAAGTTGGGTTTCCTTTTTTTTGACACACCCTGAACACACTGTTAAAAAAGTTGGGTAAATGGATCGGTACTTTGCCCAATGTTGGTCAACATTACCAATTATCGACACTCTTGGGCAAATTCTTAGTTTGTCAGTTTTTACCGGAATTAACCACAATGAGGCAACTTCATACGATGATGTCAGGCAAACAACATGGCCCGACAGCGTCTGACGACGGAGAAATGTACAACTTGTAGAGGTGGGAGGAAAACCCCGGAAGGATATTCCAGGGATAACCCACGGAATCAGGCAGGGACTGATAGCCTAGTCCACATGTAAGCCAAGGCGGGATCCGAACCCGGGTCACAGCGGTTGTAGGCGAGGAAAGTACCACTACGTCAATCTTTAACCGTTGCCTGACCTGCAGTATTTCCACGAGACATGTTTTACCATCAATTTTTAAGGAATTTGTGGGTCTTCCTGCACCTGACCGATTAATAACAAAATTCTAATTGTCCTGAACGTTTTTGCAATATTGTCCCTGCAAATGACATCAACTCTTCTCGCTTGCTTTCTCACGCAAAGAATTCAGATGTCCCTATCACATGGTTTCCGGCTGTTAGAGGTATTTTCCTGTCAGTTGTGATTGAGTTGTGCAATCCTAAAATATTTCAGAATGATTTGGGTAATTTTTCAGAGAGCGCGGACTAACTACGTGATTTGTGTATGCGAAGGAGACCCATTTGGATCCATCGCTTCTGGTAATGTTTCTCGGGACGTGTTTTACCAACGTTTGAATTACCAGACATGAGCCACAAAATGCGCATCAAGACGGAGGAAGACAAGCCTCTCATCAAGTCAAGAGCCCTCCATTTACCCGTAAGGACGCGAAGTTTTAGGAACAGCCAGCGCATGCACGTGCATTTTTATCGATCAGACCTCGGTCACTGCATAAAATGTGGTCGGGGTCAGGCGGTCGGAATTGGTGCTCTTGATCTGTTGTACTTACATACTCACTCTGTACTTTGAGAGATTGTTTCTAAGATGTTTTTAAAGGACCCTCAAAAAATTGCACATTTGATATTTTTGATTGGACTAACAGCTCGCGATGTGTGGCTACTAGTTTTAGTCATTTCCATGTTGCACATGATCAAGAGGTTTATAAGATGTTTTCTTATGAGAACTCTTGGAAATAGCAGATTTGATTTGATGGGTGTACCACATATCTCGTATGCAGTGTGAGGTACTGCCAATTGTCGTCATTGCCATATTTGCTCATAATAGATGGTTTCTAAGATGTTTTCTTTAGAAGACGCTCACAATCTTGCACATTGTTTTGATCACATAAGTGGTATATGTACTGTGGTACTGCCAGTTGTTGGTCAGTGCCTTTTCTGCAACGATACTCTCTGAGAGGACACTCAGCCACCTGCACATTTGATTTCATGGTTGCACTACGTAACTGGTATGTTGTGTGTCATTGCCATCTTTGCTCGTACTCTTTAAGTTCAAGTACGAGTCGTGGTGTTTTTCGCATTAAGGGGCTGAATTTCAATTCCGATGATGACGCGCACTGTTTTCCTCTCTCCGTTGGCCCAGATTCCCGCCATTTCGAATGCACAGCTGCGTCGGCAGAGGCGCGCTCGGGTCATGTCAGTCACCTCTCTTGAAGCCTGGACACCAACCCATTTTACTAAATGAGCATGATCCTCACGGGTAACTCATAGTGCATGCAGGGTTAAATGTTGTATGGCAGCCATGCTACCACCAACCTGTTTAGTCCTGCATTGACAAATAAAAATAATGCAAATTTTCCCACACCCATGTCGTTTCGTCATGGAATGCATATCGCCAAATTAGGACTTAGTCAAAAGTACAAACTGCAATGTCGGGATCCAGTCTTGACACCAAGTCAACATTTGATTTCCTTCCTGTTAAACATCCCCAGATTTAAGAACAGCATCGACGCTACATTGTTTCCGAGACATTTATAGACTCCTAATTCGATTTCCTACATTACAGTGAAATGCATTGATAGACCTTGTTTTGCTGTTGCCGGTTTGCCGCAGGGCAAGGATTTGGGGAAACCCTGCGGAATTCAGAACTAACCCCCAAAGTATTTATAGAAACTGCATGGAGAATCACAATATCACGTTTTGACTCATGTACCACCTGATAAATCCTCAAGAAAGCTTTTACCCCTAGACGCTCTTTGACCCCCCCCCCAGCAAGTGCACTACAAATAATTCCAATCCTGTAACACTTTTATATAGAGCCAGTGAGTCGAACTACTTCTGACTTTCGAACATTGCATCTAATGACATAACGTCCAGTCAGTCATTAGACACATTGTTATCAGTGGAATAATATTTGTATATGGTAGAATGAATCTACAAACTGGTTATTACGCATAACGCCAGTATAAACCCTTACTCAACACGCTTTCCGGCGTTTCTCTAAAGTTCTGTATGCATTCCGCCTCGTACGGTATTCCCAAAGGGCCCACTTGTTACCATTGCTGTTCTTGTATGTCACCTCACGTGTTGCTGCCAAGTCGTCCCTTGTTTTCAGTGATTTTTTATTTCAACAAAGTACCGCAACCAGGCAAATTATGTAAAAATTGTACAACTTCAGCTATTACGCGTTGGGGGGAGTTCCAGAAAGTCTGGACGGCTTGAAATCTCATTAATTTCCAGGGTATGGAACGTGACTTTGCACACGATGAACTTGCTACGGTCTTGTACATGTAGAGTGCACATTTTTTGTGAATTTGTGTATTTTCATGAAGGACATTTCCAGTAGAAATGCTTCGAAACGGCTGGAGGAGAGTCTACAACGCACAAAGTATGATTTTTAAGGCGATTTTATAGTTTATACGCGCTGAATGTTGTAGTAAATATCATGGTCAAAGGTTTTGAAGTGATTATGAACAAATAGGTTTTTGAAATGTCATTGAAAACCATTAACTACTGCCAATATTACAACTGCATTATTTTTTACACAAATAAATCCCAAATTCATGCAATTATTGT